ATTGGCATTTAAATATCAAAAGATCACGTAAACGTATAAATCAAATTAGAGGTTAGTTTTTGTCCTCGCGTAATTAAATTAATCGTTCGAATTTTAATCCGACGATCAAAGGAAAATTGCATGTTGATGAAATAAATAATTCATAACTGGGTCATTTAAGGGTCACCTAAGGACTTATAATTCACAGTTTACAGGGAGAAAATTCTAGAATTGTGCATGAAAACGTTTACGAAAAACGTACACACGCTACGAATAGAATCAATATAGTAACAATATATAAAATCCAGATGTCATTCCAATCGAGTGTAAACGATAGTAAACCAATTTTCTATCGTCAAACGATCGAATTCTTTTTTACAACGAGACGATCGTTTTATTTTGAGCTTTGTTGAAAAAATGGAAAATGAAAGATATAATTTTTTACAACAACAACGACAATCGTTTTGTTGAAAAAATGGAAATATATGGAAAGGAAAGATTAAAGAGAAAGATATAATTTACGAACATAATTTACTTAATTGCAATTCAACTTACACAACATTGACACAAATTCGAAAGCTTCCCAACTTACTTAGTCAAGAGTGAATTTACCAATTTCTACCTAGTTTCAAAGCTATTTCGCGCAATCGTGTGATACGATAAAGCGAAACCGGCAATCTATTATGTCGTTGCTATGGTAACGAATTAATTGCTGTGAAAATACTCTTCGATAACGGATTAAATTATATTATTATACTTAACATTTCTTATTAGTTTGAATCTGAGTATTGTGTCTCGTGGATTGTTGACAATGCTGTCGAAAAAATATAAGGCCAAAAAAAAAAAAAAATTAAAGAAATTTGCTCGACTAATTTTTTCTTTTTTTTTTCTCTTTCAGAGTTTCACTTGGAACTTGGGAAGACCGGTGGATGAAGTGGAAGTGTTGCAATTGTCGGTGATATCGCGAGGGGTTTTAAAAAACGAAAAGGTGCTTGCGAAATATGGTTTGGTTTTACAAACAGTGGTACGAGAAGGGCGAATCGATATTACGGATTTTTTAGTGGATTTGAATAACAAACCACTTCCGGTAAGTTGGAACAACACACGCGTGCTCGCGATAACAAGTTTCCGTGTTTCGATTCCGCATCGAGCGAAAGTTTGAAGTAAATCGATCAAACAATCGTATTTTTTTTTTTTCACTTGTTTTTACAAATATGAATAAATCCACATATCCAGTTTATAAAATGATACCGGATATATAATCGAGATAATGTTAAAATTTTAATTATAATTAAAAAGAAATTAATTAATTATAATTAAAAAGAAATTAATTAATTATAATTAAAAAGAAAAAATAATATATAATAATATATAATAATATAAAATAAATATAATTAAAATTTCTATGAAAATATCTGATAATTTTCATCTCTTTACAATTCTATTTTGATCGATTCCTTGCACGAAATTAAATATTATTTCTTGATCAAACTTGATGATTATTCCAGCCGATCCATTTATTAAAAAATACACGAGATATAAAATCATGAAATCATTGATTTTTATAATTGATCGATTTTTAAATGATATATCGTGAGCGAGATTACGATAATTTTGAAAAACAAGCGCGAGTATTCTCAAAATTGGAATAAATGGTAAAGTTTTAAATTCTATTGTTATTTCCATAATAAAATCCATTTAATATGCGCAGACTGTCGTTTGCTTTGAAATTCGATACAATCCTCCTGACGGAAGCTGTAGCTCGTACGCGGCGTCGGAAATAATGGAGGATGAACAACAGATGCTGATCGACATTGAGCAAAACATTGCAAATCTCGAGAGAAGCCTGGAGCAAGCTAATACTGCCGCCGAAGCTGGAAAAAGGAAAGGATCTTGGCACAGCCCTCAGAAAACTTCGAAGCGGGGTCTTCTTCAAAGAGGAAGCTCGTTACTGACGGATGAAAAGTCACCCGATCGAAAGAGGTGAGAAATTTCCAACGATATGCGTGTGGTGTACAGGTATCGCGTATTTCATTCCCTTTCGCAACAATCGTCTTATTTACTCTTCAACGAATCAAAATGATCGAGTAAAAACCGAAATATATTGTTTTCTCTCTTGCTTCTTTCTTATCCGATACTTCGCAAAAGCGATAGAAGTGTATTTTATTATAATAGCAGATAATCAAGAAACATATGGAAGATTTGAAAAACAATGGTATAAATCGCATTTTCTAAAAATGGTTAATCTTCTTATTGTTTAAATTTTCAATTCAACAAAATCAATTAAATAAGTATTTCGATATATATTTGGTAGCGATTTAATTGACTTGTCAATTGAAAGTTTAAATAAAGAATAAAGAGAATTATTAAATTGTTATATTAAAGAATATGAGTTACATTGATTAGCTTCTCTTCGTAGCAAATTTCTGTTATATTGGGAATATAAATAACTAGAGTAGAAAATATTTAAATATGATCTAACATTACAGATAAAATTTATCTCATTTCGGTTTACATTAATCAAAATTGATGCAGGACGAAAAAAATGATATTTTTTGCAGTAGAAGTTCAACGTTGAAAAGCATGAAATCCTTCATGAAATTGGGTAAACAAAGGCCACCTAGAGCTCGATCCTGCGACAGTGGCTCGGATACTAGCGAATTACTCGATAGAAGAGACTCGAGCTGTCCGACATCGAACGAGCCTTCAAGAACGAATTCGATGACTTCTTTGGAGACGAATATCTCTGATTACGACACTCAAGTTGGATCAAACACGACAGAACTTCAGGACATGATTGTAAAGTCAACGAAAAAATCAAAACCAAAGGTTCGATTTTCACATAACCTTCAAAAGCTTATTTCTCTTTCGTTTATCGTTGAAGACGATTTATCGTGAATTGAGAGACCGTTTCGATATCATCTTCTTTGATCGTAAAATTGGAAAACGACTTTCTAAATAAAATCCCGGATATACGGAATAAAAATTTTAAAGCCAAGTTAGATTGGTTTAAATTAAAAAGATTGAAACATTTCACTCGAGCTATTTGCTGATTTAATTTCAAAAGGATATTATATCGCATATTTCGTAATATTTTTAAAATAATATCCTATCGTTTAAAAAAAATACGGTAGCGTATTTTCTACGAATATAAAGTTTCTTTCAATATACTTTCTTCTAAACGTAAGATGCCGCATGTGCCTATTTTCCCTTTCTCAATTATCGAAATAATCGGTAGTTCTCGTAAATTCCGCAAGATTGCGTAGAGAGCTCATTAATTTATTCCGCGTCGTCGTGTCTCAAGTATCGAAATTGTAAACAAAACGAAGAATATTCGTTTGAACACCCTGTAGAATACAAAGGAAAAGGAAATAGATAAATGATGCGATAAATTGCATAACAACCTTTGCATAAGAATTCTTCGAGCCATTTCCGTTTTAGAAAATCGATGATTTCTTCCGACTTGAATAAACGATATAGTTCGTGAGAAAATTTCACAAGAGGTTCGTTCCGTGCTTCCTTTTCAGACGATCGACACAGGGCAAACAGCGTTAAAGGCACAAGATTATCAAGTTTGCATCACCATTATCGAGGCAAGGCAATTGGCAGGGCTGAACATGGATCCGGTCGTTTGCGTACAAATAGGAGATCAACGAAAATATACCAGTGTCAAAGAATCTACGAACTGTCCCTATTATAACGAGGTAAGTGTTGTTTTCGATCAAATAATTTTCGAATTTTTAAAGGAAATAGTATTCGTTTCAATTCGATTGTTTAAAGAAAATTATCGAAAAAATTGTTAAATGAACTATGAAAGGACGTAAAAAAAAAAAAAGAAGAAAAAAAATGAGAGAATAAATCAATTATTATTATCATCTTTCTTATAGACAGTTTCATGCTAATTATTAAATACAATACAAATACTTCACTATATTGAAATGTATGCTTCATTCGGGCGTATCGCGAACAATTCTGCTTTTTTAATTTTCTTCATTTGAATTTTTTCACTTTTTCTATCCGTTTTTTTTAATGTCCACCCCCGTTCATTTTTGCAGAAATATTTTTCTCTTTTCATTTTCCCGTTTTTTTAAAATATATATATGTATATTTTTTCTGCATTCGTATTTTATTTTCTTTGTTCATTCAGATCGAAAGTTACGGAAAGATATTTCGACGAAATAATATTCCCGATTTCGGTTTGTTTTTTTCAGTATTTCGTCTTCGATTTTCATATGTCGCCTGTAATGTTGTTCGATAAAATCATCACACTGTCGGTAAGTCGTTTATTGAATTTTTTTAAACACTCACACAGCTATGAGGTTGCTATTTATAGAAAGTTAGGAAGCTATTTGCTTCATTAGATAATTAGAATTAATTGGCCTTCGACGATACGTTTTAATAAATACGGTAAAGCAAAATAAATTGCAGATCGCGCTTCGAATAAAACGCTCTCGGCATTAAATTTTTCTATAAAGCATAATTTATTTCCATCTTTTTCAAACGATTACCAATTGTTATATATTAACTTTAAACACTGTCATTTCTCGATTGATAAAAATTTATTGTCGACAACGTTGTATTTTGAATAATCAATTACTGTCATCTTTCATGGTCTGAAAGGAGAAGCTGTGGGAATATTGATTTACGATGCATGGTACACAGAGAGAATCGTTGCTCTTGAATTTATTTCAAGGTATTAATAATTACTAACTGTCAATACAGTATCGATAACAATCTATTTTACATAAAAAATTATCTTATATAATTCAACATGCTTGCTAGTTCGAAAGAAAAATCTATAGATTCGTACGTTAGATTAATTTAATGTTAATTTATTACGAATGTAAATAAAATGAAAGGTGGAGAAAATGAAAGAGAAATCGATGAAATATTTCTCAATTAGGAATATTTAGAGTAAATATTTGAATACGGGATTATTTTTAAAACAGGTAGCTAAAGTCGCACACATTACGACTGGTGAATGATAATTGTGGAGAAAGCGAATTACTTGAAGTGAATACCTTGTATTGATATGCAGGTGCAGCAATCGCGGAATCTCTTACGCGCTAATCTAACGCTGGGCAGCTTTAAGTTAGACATCGCGACCGTATGGGCGCAACCAGGTACATTTTTTTACAAGTTCTTCGAAAGGGATTCTAAAAGTTATTCTTAAATCATCTTTAATTATTTCTCACTCTCTATCGTGTGCCACGTGTGTCAAGATTCTAAAAAAAAAAAAAAAATGTATATTCGTCTCATTGAAGAATATAATTTGCATATAAATCTCGATTAATTCATATCTTTTTTCCGAAACAGGAATGTACGATGAAATTCATTCTTTGATTCTCATCGCATATGTAATAACGAATTTTAAATATTGATTGAAAATGCAACGAGATGAATTATTATATTTTACGCATGCTTTGTAATATGCATATAATTTCGTGCAACGCATGGACAAAATATCTCGTCGATTGGAGAGGGGAAAAAAAAAAAACAAAATGGCTTCGTAATAATTTATAATACAACGCGCGAATTAAATTGAAGGAATAAAATTGCCAGGTTAATAAACGTTTGAGCGTAAAAGAATCGAATATAGATTCAAATGAAGAAAGCCATTGTCTCGCGTATCGTATCATTTTTCATAATTCATAATATTTCTTTGTATCGCTTATAGCTTTGAGTGATGCCGCTTCTGTACCATAAAATATTCATTTCGATTGCACGTAAGATATAAATTACGTGTGTCACAAAAGAAAGAAAAATGTGTAATCCGCTTACTTGCAAGATATCTACGATAGGAAAGCATATTTCGTAGATAGAAATAGCATGTTTTGGAAAGTATCTAAATATCTTTTCACAATAATGACAAAGCCATATTCGTGTTTCATTGCACGTGTACGACAATTCGGCTAACGATTCGAGATTCAATTATTGCGTTTCAAACACGTTCGAGATATTATTAATTTGATCCACAACTCGTTCCACATTTTCATCACATGTATTATACAAGAGATCAACAGTAGGTATAACGTTAACGATTTCATTTAATCAATTCTTTTCTAAACAATTCAATTCTTTTTTAATCTCATCCATTCACTTTATCTACCTTTTTACCTGTTACAATATATATATATATGTACTTGTACGTTTAACTAACCTAATATTCTGTAATAATCGAGTGACACGCGCTTACTCTGTAGATCACCAATTCTATCACAAGTGGGCGTTGCTGACGGATCCGGACGATGTGGCGGGAGGTCCAAAGGGTTATTTGAAATGCGATATAAGCGTGATCGGGAAAGGTGACACCGTGAAAATTCCCCCGAAAAGCGAGAAAGACGAGGATGATATCGAGGGTAATCTTTTGCTTCCGGACGGTATGCCTATAGAGAGGCAAAGGGCGAAGTTCATCGTAAAGGTGTACAGAGCTGACGGGCTGCCAAAGATGAACAGCAGCATCATGGCGAACGTGAAGAAGGCATTCACGGGCGAGGTGAAAGATCTCGTCGATCCGTACGTTCAAGTCTCTTTCGCTGGATTGACCGTAAGAGCAAAACCAACTTTATTTAATTAATTACATAAAATAATTGGATCGAATTTAGTGAATTTTTAGGTTAGGTTAGGTTAAGTTAGGATAGGTTAGGCTAGACTAGGCTAGGCTAGACTAGGCTAGGCTAGGTTAGGTTAGATTAGACTAGACTAGGCTAAGTTAAGTTAGGCTAAGTTAGGTTAAGTTAGGTTAGGTTAGGTTAAGTTAGGTTAGATTTTGAATTTTTTTTTTTGATTCAGGGTAAGACGAGCGTTAAGAGGCACAGTTACGCGCCAGTTTGGAACGAGCAGATCGTTTTCACGGAAATGTTTCCACCCCTCTGTCAAAGGATCAAGATTCAATTGTGCGACAACGATCCGGTCCACGCGACCGTGATCGGCACCCATTTCGTCGATTTGAAGCAAATCAGCAACGACGGCGAGAAAGGCTTTCTGCCCACGTTTGGACCAGCTTTCGTCCACTTTTACGGAAGCATTAGGGATTACAGTATCATAGACGAGCATTCGACCTTGAACACTGGATTAGGAGAGGGAATTTCTTACAGAGCAAGGTTACTTGTTTCCATTTATTCTCGAATTATCGATCGAGTTAATTAACGATAATGAAAAGAAGAATGAAAGAAGTAATCGTATTGCTTTCGTACGCTCTAGATTATTAATAGCTATTAGGACAGAAATAAGCGATAACGTAGAGATGGCACCGTCGGAGGTCGAAGTCGAACCCACGATACCTATAAACGAATCCGCTTACACGAGGAACGAGGAATTCTTCCTCTTTGCAACGATAATGGACGCCACTATGATAGACAAGAAACTCGGTGACAAACCGATATACTTCGAATTGTCTATAGGAAACGCGGGAAACGCGTTGGACGGTCACAACGAAAGCTCGAAGGTAAGATTGATGTACGTTGATTTCGTTGGAATCGAAATTACAATGATAAAAATCAACGGACAAGGTTTCATGATCGAGTGAGTTGATCGAAAATTCATAGGACAGTGAATTCATTTGTTTTTTTTTTAATTGGACGCTGGCCCAGATGTGCGACATGGGACCAAAAAGTGGAACGAGCAGCGATCAAGAAGAGCTTCAGGAAGTGTTGAGCGGGTCTTGGCAGAGTACCACCCCATCTTGCAAACCAATGACCCATGACAAAATTTATTACTTTCTTCCGTATTGGGATGATAAACCATGCCTTCATGTCAGAAGCATCTGGCCTGATTATAGACGTAGAATGTACAATAGCAATATAATCAGTAAAATTTCTGATAAATTGGTGAGTCGAGTGTCCATTGTGTGTGGAAAAATGGAAGTTTATTAATTGTTTGTAATTGTATTATATTTGTGTATTTATTTGGAACAGGAAGAAGGATTATCGGAGGTTCAATCGCATATAGATGATTGTTCAGGCGAGAAAATTTTAAAATCAACGTTAGAAGAATTAAGTAGCAATTGTAATCGATACGTGAGCATCAGTAAATCGAGCGTCACTGGGCCAGGAGTTGGGAAAACGAAACTCGACAAGGAAAGGACTAAATTGTGTCAAAGAGAATTGGAAGGTATAGGAATGATGTCACGGAATCTTAAAGCAGTTGTCACTAAGAGTAGCTTTAAGGAAAGATTGAAGACTGCTCAGGGGTATTTGCAGAAATTAAAATTTCTGGTCGAGGACGTGAGTGTTGCTCAACATCTTCCATAAAATTTTATTTATTCGTGCTTTTACGCTATTGCAAGTTAGACATTTTATCGTTAAAAGAGAAACGTACGGTTTTCAGCCTCAAGATTCTCTTCCGGATGTTTTTATTTGGGTAATTAGTTCAGGACGACGAATCGCATATCATAGGATACTTGGGAGAGATTTAATTTATTCAATAGTGGATGAAGAGTGTGGTAGATATTGTGGAAAAATCCAAACTATATTTCTCAAAGTACGTTTATCTCATCTTTAATTTACATTTCGTACAAAACTTCTTGTTATTCATTGATTCTACATTCATTAATGATTCCATTAAATTAATATAGCTTCCAGGGAAGAAGCGGTTTGGTCCTTCAGGTTGGGCGATACAAGGAAAATTGCAAATTTATATGTGGCTTGGTATCTTAAAACATAAGAAATATTTCACTCAAGGCTTGCCAAAGGGATACGAACTTAGTCACGAATTGAAAAACGTCGACAGACCGCGTGCTTTGCCACCAATCATTATTCATTATGTTGAAAAACACGTAGGTATATATGAATTATATTGAGAATGGCAAACAATTAAATTCGGTGGAATTTCGCTTACTAAAATATTTCAATTATATCGAGTAGAAGTTCCAGTTAAGAGCGCACATGTATCAAGCTCGGTCTTTGATCGGTAGCGATGCATCCGGTCTTTCCGATCCCTTTGCAAGAGTGATTTGCGGCGAATTTTGCAAGTCCACTCAAGTAATCGACGAAACTCTGAGTCCTACGTGGGACGAACTTCTTCTTTTCGACGACATCTTGATTTACGGGACTGGCGAGGAAATTAAAAAGGATCCACCGTCGATCGTCATCGAACTGTTCGATCAAGATAAAGTGGTATGATGAAAAATTTTCCTGATACAAGAGTCTGCTTTATCCTTAGTTGCAATACAATGTTTAATTGAAAGAAAATAACGTTTCTTTTACGATTGATTAAATTGATTGATTTTCTTATCTTTTTGTGATTCTTTTTTTACAGAGTCATTTTGTAACTATGGACATAACACTGCATGAGGGCTCTGCTTTAACAGTTTGTATATGATGTACAACATTCATACGCAAAAAAAAAAAAAAAAAAATACACGCTTCCACATTTTATTTTTTTCGATATTAATTTAGGTACAGTGTTCAAAATCGTTTTGAAATTGAATTTCAAATTGCGCACATGGCATGTCTGTAACGTTTCAGATATAATTGACCAGAAAACAGAAATTATTATTTTAACACAACATTTTTTTTTTTTAAAAGAAATTTTGAAAAAAATGAAAAAAAAGACATTTTTATCCGTGATAAAAAATTTATTGTTAGAAAAAAGAAAAGAACTAATATCGATAAAATTTATTCAGATAAATTGAATAAAGTAAATGCACGATGGTTTCAGGGTAAATCTGAGTACATAGGTCGAGCGGTTGCGCGACCCCACGTAAAACTCGCCTCAGAAACTTACACACCACCGAGATTTCCACCATCGTTGGAATGGTGCGATGTAACAAGAGGTGCTGCAAGAGCGGGCGAACTTCTTGCTGTTTTTGAATTATTGGAATATCCTTCGACCAAAGATTACGGTTTACCTACATTGCCAGATCCGAAAGAGATAATAACCCAAACTCCTATTGTGACTCAGGATCAGGGACCAATTCTTCCGGTTCCCGTTGGTATTCGACCAACTCTGTCCAAATATCGGTAAAATTTAAAACTATTTTCCAATATAATTTTTTTGCAATTTTTAAAATTGTTAAATCTGCTCGGCTTCATCCTCGTTATTTTCTTTCGCAGAATCGAAGTTTTGTTTTGGGGTCTAAGGGATTTAAAGAGGATACATTTGATGACCGTGGACAAACCTCGAGTAGACGTCGAATGTGCTGGCCATATTCTCTATTCTTCGGTTATAACAAATGCAAAAAAGAACCCAAATTTCAATACACCGGTGAAATTTTTGGAGTTGGAATTGCCGGAGCAAGAACTTTATCGACCACCTTTAACCATCAGGGCTGTAGACTGCAGAAGTTTCGGTCGTTATACTCTTGTTGGAACGCATACGATAAATTCGATTCATAAATATATGTATTGCCCCCAAACGAAGAAAGCGAAGGATGTCGAAGAAAAAAGGAAAAATTTATATCAATTGCAACAATACACAAGTAAAATGATTTTAATTTTAGAAATTTAAAATATATGTATATATATATTTTTCACAATTTTCCAATATGTTAGGTTTCGATACATCAAAAATCAAATATCAATACGCATCTTTACCAGAATCTTTAACCGATCTTGAATTTAGTATCGGAGATGCGATCATTACTCTAGGTCTAGAGCAAGATTGGCCAACGAAGAGAGATAAAACGGAACAAAACATAAAAAAGAAGCAAAGTTTAGTCAACGATGGAAGTATGGGTGAGTATATTATACATGTAAAATCAAAAAATAAAGCAGTAAAATCGAACGAAATCTGTCAGGAGATTTCAGTATTTTCGAGGACGAGGAAGGCTGTCAAGATTGGTGGACGAAATACTTTGCCTCTATCGAAGCCATGATAGAAGAAAATAAGGAACTTCGTAGAGAGAAACCGATGTTTCAAACACAAGCGAATGGCACTGTTCTAAATTACATGGAGGAAAGTTGCAATCAAAATCAAGTGAATCCATCGGGTGACAAGAGTCCTGGTGTTACCGCGAAAAAATTATTTGGCCTAAAGTCGACAGCAAATACAGCGAAGTTTGTTTCGAAGCTTAG